CGTTACTATTTATGTTGAGGTAATGCTTACATAAAGTAAAGGCATAAGTACTAACCGTAGAACACTGAGTTTTTACACGTGTGTCATTTGTTCAGCCACCTCCCAGATCAAGATCAGGAACATTTCCCATGGCCCATCCCAGTCACTGCCACTGACAAAGGTAGGCATTATTTTAACTTCTATCACATAGATTTATTTGCCTGTTCCTGAACTTCATAAGCATGGAACAGAACAATATTTATTCTCATGCCTAGCTTCTTTCACTCAGCATTAAGTCAGTGGCATTCACACACATTGTAGCATGGAGCGGTTACTTCTTTTTCATGGCTGTGTAATACTCGCTTGTGCGAATATACCCCCAATTTATTTACCTCTTCTTCTCTTGATGGATATTAGGTTCTTTCCAGGGTTTTGCTGTCACGAATAATGCTGCTGTGAACTTTTGTTTGAGACAGAGTCTCACTTTGACACCCCCAGTACAGTGTGGTAGCATCATAGCTCACAGCAACCTCAAACTCTTGGGCTCAAGTGAGGCTCTTACTTCAGCCTCCCAAGTAGCTGGGACTACAGGTGCCAGGTTGGTCTCAAACTCCTGACCTCCAGCAATCCACCCACCTCAGCCTCCCAGAGTGCTGGGATTACAGGCATGAGCCACCACGCGCAGCCCCCGTGAACATTCTTGTACATGTCTTTTGGTAGACATAAAGACCGACTTTTAGGAGTGGAATCTCTGAGTAATAGGAGATATCAACAAACTGCCAAATACCTTTCCAAATTGGTTGTACTTTTTTAGTATTCAAATTATTGTTTTAATATATTAAATCTCTTGAGAGCGAAAGTTCAAAGTAATTACACAATTATAAAAAGGACTTTACCTAACAAATGAAAACACTGTAACCTAATTCTTTGTACCCTCAATTAACCTGAAACAATAAAGAAAAGGAAAAAAAAAGAATAAGTGATTAAAAAAAAAAAAGTTCAAAGTAATCCCACCGCCAATCTCCACATTTGTTTTCTCTTGTGATGTGCGGGCTATGCCAGGGATTCCTGGCATGCCAGTTTGAGATATGCAAGCCCTGACCTTGGCAATGTGCTGGCACTTTAGAAAGTCACCTCTTTAAATCCTCCCCCTAAACTCTCTGGGCTAGGGAAGCATGAGCTTGGGCACCAATAATCTCACGTCCCTGTTTGCCTCTTTAACCACCTTATTAATTCAAATCTAATTAAATTCCATAACAGCCCCGAGTATAACTCCTCATACAGCAGATTTAAATCATTATGATTTCACACTGCACTCTGTGTCTGAAGACGCTGCTACTCGGCTTGACAAGGCTAGAAAACTAAGAAGCTAGAACCGCCCTGGAAAACTCTAAAATTGAACGATGGCCACAGATCAGAGGGTTCCACACAAAGCTATGTCTTGGGTAGGGGGATCTCCAGGTTTTTCTATTTTCTACTCAAATCTCTGCTGCATACAGAAGCAGGCTTAAGTGGCATAAATCAGAAAATGATAATGGGAACTGAATGAAATTCTCATAAATCACGTTACTAAGTATAGTTACATCTTAGATGTGAAACCCAATTAAACAGATGGCCACATGCTGTCAGAATCAGCCCTAATCAATAAAGATGTTCATTTGAGAGAATCACCTCAATTTTTCACTCCTTCAGTGAAGCAAGAAGAAGGCAGTTGGGGAGGTAGGGGAGTCCCAGGAAACCCAGTGGGGAAATGTGTAAGAAGAAACTCCACCTGTCTTAATTTGTAATCCAGAAAATCAGAAAGGAGAGAGGGAAAAAACATCACCCAAAGGATTCCTTGTCATCTTGCCTGGAAATATAATTTACAATGAGAGCATGCTCCGGTCATTAGGAAAATACAAACAGCTTGAATCTCTTAATTAAAATACTGCTTCAAATTGTTCGTTTTAAAGCCCCTCTGCCCATGAGCTTTCAAGAAATCATTGAGTTATCCTGAAATGGCTTCTTCCTCAGCAAACCTCTAAGAAGACCAGATCTTCCCAGGCAAGAAAAAGGCTGAGCAGGAGTGAATCCTGAAAGCGGAACTATTACTAGACACACTTAGGTCCCCCAAGGAGCAGTAGGCCTTCACTGACATTTGAAAGTGAGTGTAAAACACGGGCAAACAGACGATCTCATTGCCTTTTCTTGCATAAGAGCTGATCTATTCCCCTCACTAGACTGCTGAAAATTAAGTGCACCAATGCCCAGAGTTGATGAAAATAAGGAACAATAGAAATGCTTCTGGACTTTGGCACAGCCACTTTGGAAAACATTTGGTGTTATCTAGTAGCGTTGAGTATTTGCATACCCTACCAGGCAGTAATTCTAGTCCTGGGTGTCTACTCCAAGACATTTGTTTCAGAAGGCATGTTGAACAATATTCAGAGCAGCATCATTCATAAAAGGAAAAAACCTTATGGGGATACACACAGGTCTGTTAATAGTAAAACAGAGAAATAATCTGGGGGTACAGTCATTCCATGAAATACCATACAGTAAAAATGAAAAAAAAACAACCACCACATGCTATGTGGATGAACCTTAAAAACAACATGTTGACTGCCCCCCAAAAAAACATTGCTTAAGAGTTCTTATAGCATGATACCATTTTTATTATGTTTAAAGAAATCAAGTAAAAAGAAAGAATATATTGTTTAGAGACACTTACCTAAATGGTGAAATTTTTATTTTATAACATAAGAAAGTGATAAACACCCAAATCATAAGAGTGGTCACCTTTGGGGTAAGAGATGGGAGGGTTATAGGCAGTGGCAAGGATACTGGAAAGTTCTAGTTCCTGGTTGGGTAAGGAGCTCCTAGGCACATAGTGATTTTGTCATCTTTTCGTATATTTAAACCTTAATATATGCCAGCATGTTATAGCTATTCTTTTGCAGGCACCAAATATTAAACACTTTTAAGTGGCTAATCTCAATGATATTCTAATTCCCAATAAAATATTCTAAAGATTGTTATAGTTCATATGTTACAATAAATATTATTATAAGTATTAGTTATAATTAATAACTCAAATATCACAAGTTCCCACAGAACATATGCAGCTTAGTCTCAACTTAGAGCTTAAGACCTTAAGAAAGCAATGGTAGTTTCATGATAATGAATATTTATACGACAAGGAGTGACATTCAAAATATCTAACAACTTATTTGGTTATGTAAATTAACATAGGAATAAAAAAATTCCACCATCTGCTTGTATTCCTTCTGTCCATTACTCCCTCAGACCAAAGTCCTACAGAGATGCCCATTCTCTGTAGTGGCCACATGGGGTGACTCTAAGAAGACATGTCCACTGGTAGTGAGCAGCCACAACCACAGCCTCCTGGCTGTCCCCTCTAACTCAGAAATCCTGTGGGGACAAGGGCCAGTATGGAGGGCCGATAGGAGATTAGCTGACTGGCCAGAGGGCAGGCAGGATGCCTCATTAAGAAGGTGGTTTCTGAGCAAAGATTTAAAGGAAATGGGACTGTGAACCAAGCAAGTCACCTGGGGAAATTTTCCAAGAAAAAGAGAGCCCCAAGTATCAAGGCCCCAAGAGAAGACTGTCAGATCTGCTCTAGGGACACGACAGAGGCAAGTGGGATTGAACAGAGGGAGGAAGGAGGAGAGTAGGAAGAGGCAGAGGCAGAGAGCTAACAGGCGTCAAGGCCATCAGAAGTCACTTGGCTTCTACTCGGAGATGAGATACTGATAAAAGGTTTTGAGCAAAGAAGTGACATGATATGATTGTAAAACATCTTAAAATGGCTGCAATGTGATATTCAGAATGGACTGGAGGAGGATAAGAACAGAAGCAGGCAGGCCAGTGAGGAGGCTATTACTGAATCCAGGTGGGGAGTGGCAGTGGCATGAACCAGGGTGGCAAGTCTTCCAAATTCCACCTCCTCCATTCAACGGTGTAGAAATGTGATTGAAACCATGAGATCAGATGGCATTACCAAGTGGGTGGGTGAAGATGAAAAACAGAAGAGAAAGGAAAAGGTGCGAGCACTGGGCCTCGGGGTGTGCCTATCGCTAACAGATAGGGGAGCTAAGGAAAAACTAGCCCGGGTCTGAGCACAGTAAGTCACCACCCATCTGATTTGGGTATTTGTCATTCTCGCTAATGCCTTTCTACTTGCATGATAGATGAATGCCCTTCTAAACAATGTACAGAAGTGTTCTGTATGATTTTCAACTTTATTCTTATGGTATCATACTCGATATATTTTCCTGAGTGGTCTTTTTCCCCACAACCTAATATTTGGCTGGTTCCAAGGACCACACTCTTCAAATCGCAGCATGAGGGTACATGCCAGGATTACAAACGACTGTCATAAGTACGCATGCCCATTTTTAGCTTCTCTAGATATTCTCCAATTGCCCCGCAAAGTGAGAAAACCAATTCACATTTCCACCAGCAGTATCTGTCCCTTATTGCCAATGCTAGTGGACTTACTTGTGCCTGCCCGATCTTTAATAATTTTTTTCCGTTTATCATGGCATTGATAATCACCTGCACCCAGACATGTAAGTAAAAAACCTCAGTACATCCGAGGGTTAATTAGAACATTTCCGAGCTTCCTTCTTATAGCTAGTACCCCCAGCTTCTACCATCTGACCGGTCACCTGCTATTTCTCCCATAAATCCTAGGAATGAAAAAATGGTGTGGTCAAAATCAGTAAGAACATTATGAGAGGAAAGTAGAAGCTGGCTCCTTTTCATGGCCAACTTCATTGTGGTCTTCTTTATTACAGTTAATTTTTTAAAATGTCAACGGTGACATGAAGCTTTAAAAAGGCTAATAAGCTGAAGGGAGGGAGGGAAGAAACTTGGGCATATAGAGAGAGAAACAAACTTTCTTCACCAACATACCCTATTACTTTGGAGGGAAAATAAACACTGTCCTTCATCAGAGCCATGAAAGCTTCCTTCAATTCTGTAGCACATTAACAAGGAGACAAGAAGCCGGTACTCACGGATCTGGTTGGTAGATGCACTGTAGAAGGCATTGACCGTGGTTGGATTTGTAAACCACCTGTAGAAAGAGAAACAAATGCCACAGAGTGATCATCATTATCCAGGCGGGGGGCAGCAAAGACAAACAAGGTGGCTGGGTTCGTTAGCAGATAAGCGGGGAACAAGTAGGGTGGGCAAGAGGGAAATTAACCACCTGTTTAGGACCACTGTCCTGCTCCATGAACCATCTCATCCTAAATGGAACATAGTTCGGTAAGAATATATTAACGTGCCTGGTTATTCACTGCTACTAACGTAACAGAAAATGTCAGCAGCAGTGCTTCTGAAAAAGCTTTAAATGAGAAATTCTAGAACCGAAAGGGCTTTCCCTGCAAATGGAAATACAGCAAGCTGATGTCTGTCAGGCCCTGTTCAATGGATCGAGGGGACAGCTGGGTTTCTCTGCTGCATCGCCTCTGACCTGTCCATTAAGAAGGTTTGGATTGATGACAACACAGAGGTCCATTTAAAGAAAGATGAATGAATTACAAACCACGCAGCCCATAGGGTCTGCCTGCACCAGTGGAAAATGTACTGATTTAAGCACTAAAAGCTTTAATGACTGGTCCTGCCTCCTTCACTAATTAGCTGAGTCATGTGGGAAAATTCACCTACCTTCCTGGGGTTTGGTTTTAGCTAGAAATTTAAGGCTTTCCATTAGAACATCTCAGGATCCCCTCCAGCTATGAAGATTCTACACTTTATATGTGCAATTAGATTGAGAATTGGCAAACTTTTTTCTGTAAATAGTCAGAGCATAAACATTCTAAGCTTTACAGGCAATGAGGCAAAATCAAGAATATTATGTAGGTACTTAAGAGCAAATGTTCCACAAATTTTTATTGATAAAATTCAAAATGGAATAATCAAGTACAATTTTTTTTTTTTTTTTGTAATACAGGCCTGTGAGAAGAATGGAATTCCTTTGGGGTGAGATAACATTATACTTACTTGGGGTTCAAACTTAGTTCATCTCTATCATCAAACCAGCTGTAACGTTTATCTCTAAAAGTCCTGCTTAGCTCAGAGGCCATACAAAAGCAAGCAGCAGGTAAGATTTAGCCCACAGGCTGTACTTACCAATCCCTGACTTACACAGTTGTGAGTTTCAGCCACTGTGCTTGATAGTTAAAAACAAGCAATTCATTTTAAACTAAGTGGCTCAAAAATAAGCTTGCAAGACAGGCATTGGGGGTGGGCACCGATAGACCCAGCTACTCAGGAGGCTAAGGCAGGAGAATTGGTTGAGCCCAGGAGTTTAAGTCCAGCCTGGGGAACATAGCAAGACCCTGTTTCTAAAAAAATAGGTAATGAAAAGTAAAGAGAAACTTACCCCTTTTCAGAATAATCATTTCATTCATTTATGTCTAATAATTGTATCAGACTAATAAGTTAATTTATGACAGACTAATATGAAACTAATAAGAAATCCAACTGTTGATGCTAGTTGGTGCACTCATACCTTCTCCCCAAATATAAAGAAGACTATGAACACATCATTCTACTGCAATTGTCATTATTATTAACTAGCATTCTTTGAGTACTTACTAGGTATAAGCACTTTTTATCTATAGTGAGAGAGGATACCTGGAAATAGTGAAGTCTAAAGAACAAAGGGTTTCTCATAGAAGCCCAAGGACACGCCTGCAGTGTCCTCTCCATGGTAACCTAGCTGTTAAGAATTTGTAAAACTTACTTTCCTGGGTCCCTGAAACTAATGCATACTGCTTGCCTCTGCTTCTGTAAACCCTGCACACGATTTGATACTTCCAGTGACAAATAATATGGCCATTCCTTTGTCTGTCTACTTGTGAGTCCAATAAAAGGACAGGGACAGAGCTGATTGGGGAGCTCGGCCATTTTGGATTCTAATCTGCCACAGCTCCACTGATTGAAATAAAACCCCTTCCTCTTCTATCATCAGTGTTCGGGTGATTCTTTCTCTCCACCAGGCCTAGAATCCTGCAATAATACGAGGGATTTTTTCCCACAGTAACTATAGGAATTATTAACCCAATTCACAGATGAGGACAAAGAGACTTAGAAGCATTACATATTTACACAAGGTCTGGTCTGTGTGACTTCAAATCATTTTTTGAAGCACTGCGTTATACTGGAGGAATTACTGAAAATCAAGAGAGCATCCCTTCTTTTTTCAAAAGTGAAACCTAGACTTATTTCTATAAAATGCATATTCTGTTCCTTCAAATTTAGGGTTGATATGTCAATTAAGCCCTAGTAACTTGCCCACTGGCTTATTTTCCGGAGGAAAATAGTAGAGGGGACAGCGTCTCTATTGACCTAATGTTATTACCTGTAGTAAGCAGAATTACTGCCACATCCTGATCTTGGGATCCTCTGAATATGTTACGTTACATAGCAAAAAAGATTTTGCTGATGTAATTAAGGATACCTTAAAATAGAAAAATTATCCTGGATTACCCAGATAGGCTCAATCTAATCACATGAGCCCTTAAAAGCAGACAACCTTCTTTGGCTGGAATCAGAGAGCTGCCAGAAGAGGGAGTGAGAAGAAATACTGCAGAACAGAAAGACGGGGAGATGCCAAGGGTGAGAAGGATTGGACATGTTGTTGGTGGCTCTGAGATGTAGGCACACTGTGCAAGGACTAGAGAAAGGCCTCTGGAACAAAGAGTGGCTCCCAGGTGACAGACAGCAAGGAAGTGAAGACCTCAGTCCTACAACCCAACCCCAAGGAACTGGATTCTGCTGACAAACAGAATGGGCTAGGAAAGAGAGTCTTCCCAGAGCCTCCTGTAAGAGTCCAGCTGGCTGACACCTTGATTTCAGCCTCATGGAACCCAAACAGAGAAACCAGACAAGCTTCTGACCTACAGAACTGTGAGATAATAAATCTGTGTTGTTTTAAGTTGCTATGGTTGCAGTAATTTGTTAGAGTGGCAGTAGGAAATGAATACACTACTCAGAGAACCCAGCAATTGCAGATCAAGAGGGGGGACTCCAAATGCCTCTCAATTTGGCTTCTAAACAATATTAGATTGAATCATAATATAGACAAAAGATAAGGTGTCCCTTCTCTTTAGCAAAGAATAAACTTTCAAAACATTAGGGTAAGGAACATGCAGGGAGAAGGTTCCTAACTGCTGGTAGACAAAAGTGGACAAACAAAAAATTTAAACAACTGATCCCTGAAATTAGACCCTGATAAGGCTCCTGAAGCTTCACCAAGAGTAACAAAACATCTTCCTGCAGACACACGATCTTCCCATTCCTGACCTCCCAGAGCTCTTGTTGACTCTAGGGCACATTTGGAGCCTTGATTATACCCAGAGCTAATATTAAGCAGCTGCTCTGGTAGATCCTATCAGTTGTTTATGCTGTTATCACTTCTGTTTGTTCAGTGCCTGTGCCAAATTAGCTGTTCCACATTCTGTATATCTCCCTTACTATATCCAAGTTCATTATATACTTAGTTTTACTATTCTGTAATGTAAGGCTACAGGTACTAGTTTTAATACATGTTTGCAAATTATTTTATATTTTTCCCATTAAGAGATGGAGTCTAATTCCTCTCCTCTTGATTACAGGCTGGCCTTAGTTCACTTCTAAAGAATAAAATACAACAGAAATGCCCCTCTGTGAAATTCCAGGCCTAGGTAATTAAAGGTGGTACAATCTCCCTCTGATGCATCCAGATATACCCTCCCATCCTTCCTCCTCTCTTTCTCAGCAAAGTTGCTCTTCAAAGTTTATCAATCAGCACACTGTGCAGAAATCCGATATCTGGGGAGAGAGGCCATATGTAGGCTTTCTAGTCAACAGCCCACATCAACCACTAGACATGAAAGAGATACAGTCTTCCACATGACTCCAGCCCCAGCTACTATCTGACTGTAACTACCTGAATGACCATGACCAGGAACTATACAACTTAGCCTAGTGACCCCCAGAACCACAAGACATGAAAATAAATATTGTTGCTCTAACCCTCTAAATTTGAGCAGAGTTTTTACACAGCAATAGATGACTAGAAAACTAAAAAGTTGGCTGTCCACTTTTTCCCCAAGCAATAGGCTGGATGTTCTCCGAAAACTGTTTTATTTGACCCACACAATGGTTAAAAAAAAAAAAAATTACTGAATTGGAATTCCTTTAAGTGGAGTGTGTGATTACTAGTTTTCCATAGTCCCCACTACTCCCTATTGTTTACACCCAATAGGTCAGCCATTAGTTAACTGCCCTCTGACGGCATTTGAATTTGTCTAACTTACCTCCCAACAAGAATTTAAGCTGCTTACAGACATAGACTGTTGTACAAATGGCATGTGTTGAGCAAAAGATCACTAAATCCATTCAAATGAATTTATTTCTATGTATACATCCATTTGAATAAACAAAGAATATCATTCAAGTGCTTTAAATTCTTTTTTCTATGTCTTTAGTGTGTTTCTGCAGTCTGTATTTGGGGAAAGATTTAGTGGGTAAGGTAGGGAGAAGTCTCATATAAATTTCAAAGCCCAAAATATATGGGGGATAAAATATACCAGATAATAAGATATATAAAAGGAATGTAATACCAAAATACAATAATCTGAAGGAAAAGACATTGGTACCCCAATTTCTTTGGACCATATAAAATAGATATGCATCAGGCTAAAGTTTTACATTTTACTTATCAACTCTTAAAGACAGTCTAGGGAATACAGAATAGAAAAACCATAAAGTATTTATTGCTTTCTCACTAACATCCTGCAGATTATATCATTCCCATTCCATGCTATAGATAATGCTTTTGCACACAGAAATTCTGGGAAGGGCCATAATTTATATAGATATTTGATGTATTTTTACCTATTTTTCAAAAGACACAGAGAGTGAATCCAGACATGTTTGGTCACAGTAGAATGAGAGTGAGTTAATATGGAAGCAGGCTTAAAATCATTTCTGTCAAAGAAAGGGATCCTGAGGGGAAGAAATTACTTTTGACTCAAGCCAAGCAGTAAGTAAATCCTCTATTTTTAAGCAAACTGGCGAAGTGACAACTCTGAAAACCAATTCTTAAATATGTACCTTCAGGGATGACCACCCAATTAATTTCGTTCTTGCTGACATTTCCCATAGCCTTAGAAACTTCTTAATGCACATTAGTGCAGCTAAAATGGATTCCATGAGAATGAAAGATAAAGAGTATTTATCTCCTATACCCACAAAGAAGCAAAATGTTATTTCAGGGCTTTGTGGAAATATAATCATGATGTCTGCTATTCAAAGTAAACTAGTGTAGTGGAGCTACTCCAGAATCATCCCCATTCAATTAACTCATGGATTTCCAGACCTAAAAGATGTCAATTAAAACCGATAGGTATCATGAAGCTAAAATTCCCTACAATGATTGAAAAGGCCCAGCCATATGTTTCCTTTAAAAAAAGAAGAGAAACTGTCAGATCACTCACCGTGCGAAGAGAACCTTAAATGTCTTAATGTTGTTTCCTCGAAATAGACATATAGTCTGTAGAAACAAGAATTATAAGCATTGCCCTGATTTTCATTTCTGGGGAACTTTTCTCAAACATTAACCAGTTTAATATCTTTGTGAAAGAGGTATTTATTTTGCACTGGCAGAGAAGAAAACCACACAAATCACACCATTTCCCTAAGCCCACAAAATCAGCCAGCATTTTTCCAAAGCATGAATAAAATATTAGACATAGTTAAGACCATTAGAATCTGACAGTCTATCAGTATCTTAGGATGAAGCTAAAGATGACACATTTAGGAGTTCTTCAATTACCAACCCTGGCCTTGGTATCCCCCCAAATGAGTAACGACACTTTGAAATTGAAGAGTTAAACTGGACACGTTGCCAATATAGACAAGCCTGGGAAGACCCTGAAAATTCACAAAAATACTAGTGAAAGCTTGAATTTTCCACAAGATTTTTTAAAAAGAGTTTGAAGTGATCTGAAGTAGATCTTTAAGGGCAGGGTGATTGCCATAGATCCATAACGACCCTATCACACCGGGATAGTCACAGGAATTTCAGGAATCATTTGCTGAAGTAATCAGATTTGAGAACCCTAAATCTAAAATTTCTATTGACTAATTTAGACTGGGAACGAAACAGAATAGGTAGACTGAAAGATGATGTGGAGAGAAGAGAGAATCAAGGACAGTGAAACAAATGGCTTTAAACCATTGTCTATCATTTCCCAAGAAGTTCTAAGGCCTTCTGCGTTCTTCCTTTGTGCTTTTGGTTGGAGTCAGTGATAAGTAGGGGCATGATTCAGCCTTAGGCCTACTTTTTACAGTTAGTAACTTAACAGAGAGCAGAGGGTCGGAATGGGTGGATGGGAGCATTAGAGGAAGAAGTGGTAATCATAGCTTAAGCTAAGGACCTAAGCTAAGGGCTCCAGACTTTTTAGAAGTCAGGACAGAGCAGGAAGTTAAAAGGGAGAGTAACAAGGGACTCAGTGAGCATTAAAGAAACCAGAGATTTGACAACCAGAGTATCAGCCAAAGGTAAGAAGTGGGACATAAAAACAAAAAAGTGGACCACAGAAGCCAGGCTTCCAGGTATGATGGCATGACAAGGTTGACAATCCCTTTTTACAAAAATCAAGTAGAAAAGTGGACAAAAGTGTCAAAAAGAAACCATTTTAGGGCTTTGGAAATTGATCAAAGGTAAGCAATAAATTAAAAATGTCTTATCTTTAAAAGCTACTAGAGCTTAGGGATAAGTAGAGCAAGACTGTGTGACCTTCTTGCCTGTGACTGCTCCTGTCTCTCTCAGCTCAGTGAGAACTTAATTCAGAATAGGCTTGCTGGAAAATCAACAGCTTTGCTGCCACAAAGGATGGACTCAACTGGGGGTGAAGGTGAAAATCTGCAGCTTTGTCAGCTAAAAATAGCCAACTTAGTAGAAAACAAAGGAGGAAAACCCAGTTCGAAATTTAAAAGAGATTTTGAAACTGAAAGAGTCATAGTAGGGCTAAATGAACACCCCACACATCCCTGGCTGATTGGAAAACTAGGCACAGGTACAGGAAAGATTGGAGAGAGCCCAATAGAAGGCAACATCCAAGATAGACTAAGAACCTGCTGTGACCCAATCCACACACAAAGCAATTTTAGCCGAGGGTAGAAGCCCTACAGGCTCAAGGTGTTAGAACACAAGCTCTGTTTACGTTCCTTTTGGAAAGACGTCTGGAGAACATTTAGAGAACTAAAAATAGACCTGCCATTCGATCCTACAATTCCACTATTAGGTGTATACCCAGAAGATAAAAAATCACATTACAATAAAGATGTC